ACTATGTGTGTGTGTGTGTGTGTGTGTGTGTGTGTGTGTGTGTGTGTGTGCGTGCGTGCGTGCGTGCGTGCGTGCGTGTGCGTGCGTGCGTGCGTGCGTGTGTGCGTGCGTGCGTTTTTGTATCATGTAGTTAGGATGAAAATAGAATCAAACTCATGTACTTCTGAGCTAGATTACTGTTGCGTCTGCAACACATACACATTCGCGCACATGCATGTACACACAGCCATACACACACAGACGCGCGCGCACGCTCGCACGCACACGTACATGTAAATATTACGAAGCCGTCCTGCCGTCACATGACAGCGCGGACAATTTCTACTACGTAAGCCGTCGGCGGATCGAGTAAAGAGCTAAGTGAGGAAGGAAGCTTAGTGAGGAAGGAATACGCAGCACGGATATTAGCCGGGGAGATTTGTGTAACCGTGCGACGCTTTCATGTGCATGCACGTGTCGCTTGGATTTACCTACCCTGGATACAACCGTAGATACACGCAAAATAACTAACCAGGAGAGAACAATAGTCGCCGTAATGTACAATTATTGAATGGCCTCGCACAGCTCGTCATAGGGTTAGGTGTTATACCATATTCCCTTCATTGTAACATTCGCATTCAATTCAGTAAGCTAGAGTTATTAGTTCAGTAAGAGTTATTAAAGGTCGACAGGCAGAGGGTGAGGTTTACAGCAATTGGACGCGATTAATATTCAGTTTAGGACTCTACAATGTTATCTTTACTTGAATCATGATCTCAATAGTGGGGCGTAGCATCCAATGTGGTGTTTAGTGGTGATCCAGAGAGGATTCAGGGATGTCATGCCCGTTTACCTCTTTCCTGACAGCAAGCTTGACTTTTGCAGTGTGACAGCAACTTTTCCCAGCTCTCATCGCGAAATCTGTGGTGTCACCCCCAACCCCACCACCCACCCCGTATCGTTTTCACTGGACTCCTTTCATCCAGAATTTTTGGATACGACCATGATTTCTAAACAGGATAGCGCGTAAATTAATGCGAATTTTATTTTATCGCGGGAATTGTTTTTTTAAACTATATTTGAAATATTATTGAAATATAGAACTATTAGAATATTATTGAATATAGAACTATTAAAATATTGCTTAATATAGAACTATTATTGAAATATAGTATATGGAATTCAATACGCGTATCTTCGCGCTACAGTGCAGAACAGTACTCTACGTAACGTAGCTAATCATCCCGTCGTATCTAAATGCATGCGTTGCTTCGTGTGTCCGTTACAGTCTCTTTCTGCAACATGAGAAAAGCGACAGCAAGCATTATATGACCGCGTTATATATAGGTCACTGGGGGTGATTTCAGAATTACCTCCACATCTAAGTACGTGTGATCTGTCATGCCTGCGTTGCAGACTCTTTCCGCAGAACAATCCAATCGACCTCAAGCGATAAACAGTAAACTAACCTAAGAAACCGACTTATCTGCACTTTGCAGGTTATTTTCGCAGCACTATCAGAACGATATCAAACGACAAACAGTAAATCTAATTATCTAACCTAAGAAACCGACCTATCTGCATGCACTTTGCAGGTTATTCTTGCAGCAGAACAATATCAAACGACAAAAAGCAAACCCAACGTAAGAAACAGACCTATTTGCGTTTTGCAGATTATTTCTTCAGCACGAGGAGCTGCTCGCCGTCTTCAAGAAGAAGTTCAAAGACGTGCCGGTCGATCAACTCGCCAAAAGTCCCGAGCTGGAGAATCACGCTTCGCAGGTGATGTCGACGCTCGATGAAGCCATACACTCGCTCAACAATCTCAACTTCTTCTTTGAGCTGCTCTACACGATCGGCGTCACGCACCGCGACATCGCTGGCTTCAGACCAGAGTATTTTTGGGTGAGTACGCGCGGGGCCTCATTGACCAGTTATTTTGGGTAAGCACGCCGAATATTTTAGGTCAAGCACACGGGGTATATTAGGGTAAGCACGCCGAGTATTTTTGGTCAAGCACACGCGCGGGGAGTATATTTTGGTAAGCACAGGGAGTATATTTTGGTCAGCACACAGAGTACATTTGCGCAAACACACAGAGTACATTTGGGCAAGCACACGGAGTATGTTTGGGTAAGGACGCCGGGTAATTTTGGGTAAGCACACCGAGTGTTTTTGGCAAGCACACGGATTATATTTGGGTAAGGACGCCGAGTATTTCTAGGAAATCACTCCGAGTATTCATTGAGTAAGCACACCCGAGAATTTTTAGTAAGCCCATCGAGTATTTATAAGCTCACTTAATTGGTATTTCTGAGTAAGTACACCGCATCATTGCAGGCTTCCGCCCTGGACAATTCTTGGTAACGTTATCATGTTATTGCCTAACACAGGGACGAATATTTCAATGGTATGATAGTCTATTGCATCAAATATATAGTCCGAAATTTGTTGAAAACCGCAAAAAAATGATAAAGGGAAAGTAAGGTAGAAATATTAATGTAGACACAATGAATGTGAATTTTTGTAGTAATTTTTTTGAGAAAGTATAATTATGGCTCCAAAATAGGGGAATTTTAGTGAAATACTTGTGTTTTGTGTAGTAGATAAAACGAGTGAAACGTGCAGTGTGTGGCATAGGTGTTACGTCTTGTACACGTCACGTGTCATCTGCGTTGTCAGCGCGTGTCAGCGCGTGTCAGCGCGTGTCAGCGCGTCACGCGTGTCACGGGTGTCGTTACGGGAGTCAGGGGCGTAGCCAGGATTTTCAAAGTTGTAGGCACGACTATCTGAGCGGAGCGCGACCATCGGTTGGCGCGGAGCGTACAAGAAAATTTTTGGTTTTACAAACCCCCCAGATGGCCGGAAACGGCCCTTCCCGAGTGTTCATTCTGGTTCCCTGACCTCTTGCTAACTTAAGACACCTAATTCAATATCACTTTTAAACCCAAAAAACACAAACGAGTTAAAATAGTGTTACGAACGAGTTAAAATGTTAAAAACCTGACAAGATCGGATTCTAGTCTTTTTCGGCGGGTAGAGTGTTGAATGAAACGGCACGCGATAGAAATGACAGCCTAGATGACAGAAGAATAGGTCACCTAATTTAGCCATATTCTTGCTACGTTCATTTCAATAGTTTTTCCTGCCTAGACTCTTAAACTCGTCCAGCAAGCTTATGGATTTGAATTATGGGTGTTTAAAAAAAAAAGATAACTTGGCCAAAAAAAGTGTAGGCCCGGGCCTACAGTGCTACATACTGGCTACGCCCTTGGGAGTACTATATACTACAGTAGTAGTGTATACACGGGTAATCCTACATTATCTACATCTTATCAAGAGCTAATAATACCTTATAATAACCTATATAATAATCTAATAATACCTAATAATAAGGTATTATTAGCTCTTGATCGTATTATATACAGCTGAACTAATTTCAGTTGATTCTTTTTTTGCCGGCACGTTTCTTTTCTCGCACGTTTGTTACCATGCGTGACAGCTAGGCAATCACTGCAAACCCACGCATCGACTGCTCTGCAGACGTGATGCTAATTCCCTGCGGAACTTTCCCGGACAACAGACTAACTAGTCTTGCCTCAAACTTAAGCCCGCTGCCAATAAATTGCCTCCTCGTGCGAGTCTGATCGATTGACGGCAAGTCGAGAAATTATTTTCCACACGCGAGCGAGAAGTTGAAGTGCGCTTATTATATCCTCCTTTCTCGCGCGAGTCTTTGAGAAGCTTAAAGCGAGCTCCGCAGTGCACTGTATGCGGTTGCGAATGCCAGCGAGAATATAATAGTTATTTGTAATTGCAGAAAGTTATCTCGGTTGGAATCGCAGTGGAAAATTGGCAAAGCCCGTGCAATAACGACGAACGTACATATGAACCTTCATCAAATAACAACTAGAAGAATATTTTTTTCAATTGTAATAGTAACACGTCACCTGATTTGTTTTCTGACGACTTCATGCGTACAGGTCATGGTTCTTGCTAATACTTTGTTGACTGATGTTTCAGATTTCCCTCAGTTAGTATAATGAAAGGCTACTATTAGCTATTAATACAGTAAATAATATAGTAAAACCTAATATAGTAAATGTCATCGGATAGGCCTAGTATTGGACATTTACTATATTAGGTTATAATGTCGATTTTATGCTCCGTTATGGGCACTATCGGAATAGTTGCTCCGCAAACATGCTCCATATTTCTAGACCTATTTTGCGCTTGTCTATATATAGGTACTAACTGTCATTCTTGGTGTGGCCACTCGTGCTGTCACCACATCAAGTTCTTGTGTAGGCGCAGCTCTGCCTATGTAATCCTTCGCTGTGCAAAAACCTCCTGTGCCTTTATTTTGTTATGTTTGTTTGTTTGTTTGTTTTATGTCTGTCTTGTTGTTTGTTAATGATTTGTTTGCTTCTCCTGTGTCTTTCTTGCTGTGCTCTATGTGTGTGCGCGCGTGCGTGCGTGCGTGCGTTGAGTGACGTGAGTTTCTGTAGCGAAGCAAAAGAGCTGCATAAGTAGACCTAGCGTAGGCTTATCTTACCTATATGCAAAAAAGCTTGCCTTTTGCATATAGAAAAAGTATACTGAACATTTTCAGCTTATTGAAGAAATTTCGCCATTTATAATACGCATTATTAGAGTAAGTGCATCTACTAGATGGAGGGGAGAATATATATATATATATATATATATATATATATATAGTTGTAGGTAATGGTGTACATGTGTGGACGTGGATAAGAGACCGGGAGGCCTTTGTTAGAAACATTCTATCGTAATATTAGTCGTAGTGGTTATAATAGTATTAATCATGTCACCGTCAAACTGCAATATTTTTTACGATAGATAGATAGATAGATGTGTGTGCGTGCGAATGTACGTATGTGTGTGTGTGTGTGCGTGCGTGCGTGCGTGCGTGCGTGCGTGCGTGCGTGCGTGCGTGCGTGCGTGCGTGCGTGCGTGTGTGTGTGTGTGTGTGTGTGCATGTCTGTGGGTGCGCGAGCGCTGTGAAAACTACGATACGGCATAGGCCCCCTATTACACATTTCAGCGGAATAGCCTTCAGTGATACTAAGCAATGCTGGCAGTTAAGAGAGTCTGTGAAATACACGGATTCGATGGATAAAAAAAACCCACAAAAAACAAGGGTGCTACCGTATTTATGGTGAGCACATACCTGCTAGTGCGGAAGCCTATTATTCACTTTTTCAAAATTCATTTAATTAAAATTTTTGTTTCAGCCAGAACCCCCTCCCAGACGTGCTGATTCTGAAAATATCTTTAGTTTTCCTCTAGGCTGTGAGTTCTCTAGTTATGCGAGTACGGACTAATTCGGCTGAACAACTTTATATATATAGATTTTCCTCTAGGCTGTGAGTTCTCTAGTTATGCGAGTACGGACTAATTCGGCTGAACAACTTTATATATATAGATGTTTATGTATATGTTGTGTACAATTGTACATAGTGACTATATGTCGCTATAGCGGTTTCAATCTTGCAAACCTATTCACACATTCTAGCTGCTGCTTCATGTAAACCAAAGATCCTAGAGTGCCAAAGGCCTTTGGCACTCTAGGATCTTTGATGTGAACCGTCTCACACAGATTGCACGTCATCAGGTGCATGTACGTGCGAATAAATAAAAGGCATCATATATCATGGCCGCAGACATGATCACACCTATAAGTAGACCGAATAATTCTGTCCCATATAACCTTTTTTATATTTTGGTGAGGGTTATTGGACAAATAATTGGCCAATAATCAATAACCCTCACCAAAATATAAAAAAGGTTATTTAGGACAGAATTATTCGGTCTAACCTATATGGTTACCCATAGATTAGTGATAGCCCTGCATGGGGTATGACCAGTGTTAGGTTTGAAGTTGTGGTTAAGGAATTAGGATTAGTGTTATGGTTAATGTTAGGGTTAGAGTTAAGGTTAGAGTTGGGATTAGGGTTAGGGTTAGGGTTAGTGGTATGGTTATGGTTATGGGTAGATACGTTAGAGTACGTTGGTGTTATGGTTAGGGTTAGGGTTAGTGTTAGTGTTATGGTTATAGCTAGGGTTAAACTTGGTTAGAGTTGGGATTAATTAAAAGTTAGTGTTGTGGTTATGGTTAGAGTTAGGATACGTTGGTGTTATGGTTAGGGTTATGGTTAGGGTTAATGTTATGATTAAATGGTTATGGTTAGAATTAGTGTATACATTGCTGTTATGGTTAGGGTTGGGGTTATAGTGTTAGTGTTAGTGTTATGGTTATGGTTATGGTTAGGCCTATATGGTTAGGGTTAGTGTTAGGGCTAGGGTTAGAGTTAGGGTTAAGGTTAGTGATAGGCCGGGTTACAGTTACGGTAACCCTAATCCCCTCGGTTTGGAGTCGATGTCGATTAAGTGACTTCGGCTTCTAATATTACGACTAGCTATGTAAAACATGGCAACGTTTCTTGGGAATTATCAGGCCCACCTATATCGAATTTAGTCTTCGTTCAGCTTTGTTACTATTAATTCCTTGTTTTACGTGAAATATCCTGTATATATCGGTCATAATGCAGATCATAGAAGAACATCTGATAATAACAATGTAGGCCTACGTATATTCACGCAACACAGCGCCATCAAAAAGCGTTGCGTCATATTCAGGTTGCGGCCAATGAAACTTTAATGATCCAATAATTTTCCAATGAATGGAGAATTAACAATATCGAGCAAAACAACAAGTGATATAGCTGATTGCACCCTACTTTGTCAAATATAAATTTAAATTATCATTCATGATGGACGACTGGATAAGAAAGTACATAATTCTATTCCTCTATAATCGCGAAATTGCATTTTCTACACATTTGCATTCAGGCTACACATCGTGTATCTTGTATTATAAACTAACAATGTTTTAAAGAATTGCACATGTCGTTTCACCCTTATAGTGTGCTCCATAAACAGAGAAAACATGTAAATCATATCGGACGGAACTAGTTGAAAGCCGAATTCAGAATAACCATATAAAAACGCTACGAAGTCTGTCGAGGCGAGATCTCCATACATTTACTCTGCCAAAAATTATTCTACGGTTTTGCTATGGGAAATAAAATATATAGCTGGTGTAACCTCGGATCAGTTCCATTGAGTCCTTAAACGCATGTGCATAATCTATTCTTTTTTTGGTAGGCCATGACCTTTTAAGTCAAATTAACTGCTAACTATGATGATGTGGACAGCAAAACTACATCGCAAGAATAATAAGCACTTGCGTGCATCCGGATGCTTGCATATATCGTAAATTCTTATTTTATTTTAGCGGATAGAACAACCATTCTTAGATGCAGTCAAGGAAACGCTGGGAGAGAGATACACTCACAATATGGAGCAGATTTATCAAGTCACTATCAAGTTCATCATAGATACGCTCTATAAAGGCTACACCAAGGGCGCTGTTAAATAGGCCTACGCCGGATGCGCGCCATGGCAATCGCCGGGTTAAAGACAGGGAGGAGTGATTGATGACGTCCTTTGTTCCAGAAACACCGGAAAGTCGCCAAAAACGATTTCCTATTCAGCGTTAATAACCTCATATGCGGGTACTGGCAGAATTGCTACAGCGTATCTGCTATAGACGAATATTAACAATATGTCGCCGAAGGTACAGAATTGCGTAGTGCTCTATAGTCAGTAGAGACACAGTGACGGATGCCTACGGGGTATATGCTGTAATGTCAATACACGTGTACAAGGGAGAAATGCCTGACTTGTAAGCCGGACAACTGAACGTATCGATAATCTAATTAGCGTACAGGTACGGTGTAATATAAGCATCAAGAGCAGCTGCGTGAATATGAGCTGAGATCTATACTCACCGGCTATTAGTGATTCCGGCATTATTAACAGCAGGTCTTACAAAACTGCGACAAATATGTAGACAAAATGTGTATTCGGGCCTTTTACAAACGCAATATATCATTGCTGTATATAATAATATATTTATATATATAACAATTTATAACAATATATATATATATATATATATATTATATAAGAGTATATACAGAATATTGATATACCAAACGCGCCCATCGAAATTTGATAGGGTAGAAGAAAAATGTTAAACGTGCACTACGGAGAGGTAATCATATATTTAATCTGAGTATGTGTGTATAGCAACCGGCATAGATGGCGTGAATAATTTCTTCAAGCGGCAAATAATTTGTCCAGCGATTATAGCCTGCATTTATTCTGCTAGGCGTGGAATTGACCCATCCGTCTGTGCGAGATAACAGCGCCGCCTGCTTAGATATTGCTTCTAAGTCGGTTAATCTGAACAGGTTTACATGTATTTTCACTCCTGCACTCCAGCGTTGCCAAGCATTGTTATTAGATTGTCTTGTCGCGAGAATGATTGGCTAGAGCTGTCTACCAGCCGCTCAAGGCGGGTAAATATATATATAAAATGCATTGATTGCAATTTTTACAAGAACACCATGTCGCCAATTTAGTTTATACCGTACTGTCAAAGACAATTTATTTATATTCACTAGATAAAGTGACTTTCACTTTCACATCTGTATCTTTATTAATTCGTAATCTGTATCTTTCACTGTAATTGTCGCACTTTGCAATGTCTATTACATGCAGTAACCCTGATAGAAATTCGGAAAAATGTTAGTAAATCGCTCAGAAACGTTCGTTCAATCATAGTCACCTGACCTCAAAATCCAAGCAGATAGATCATATGGTATTATAATGTTCGATTTATCTATGCAGCAGTATGCGCTATGAAATACGAAAGTTATTGTTGAAACAAACGGACAGACGAATAGGCAGCCAAAGACCCATTGAGATAGTCAAGCAGAGATAGACAGACTGCCAAGGCAACGACAGACAGATCGACATACGCGCACAAACGGGCGCACACACGCACGTAAGCGTACACAGCATATATACTGTAATACAAACACGCGCTCTCTCTCGCATCTCTTTCTAATACTCATGATTATATATATATATATATATTCAAGCACATACATAAGAAAAAAGAGTCCCAAAACCTTTAATTGAATCGCTGCAGTTTTTGTCACTCTACGGCTCTACTTGATTTCTTAATGGAACACCGTAATACAGCCATTACAATTATTCTAGAAATGTGTTATTCTTTATGATGCCCGTAGGAGAGTGTGTGCTGTATGAGAAGATTATCAATAAAAGCACTTACGAGTTACAGCGAAAAACAAAGGAATTGTAATCCTATTCATCTAATGGCGCCAACCTTACCCAATTTCTACTAATCATACCTACTAGCTTACAAAGGATGTGCGCGTTCCTAACAATATTACACAACTATTATTTCACTGACTTTGTACGGCTTCCTTCCTGAGTTTGTTACTTACCAAGCAAACCAATCTAAAAGATAAATAACAAGCATACGCCTCTTATATAAACTACATTCTACCAACAGCACGCGCGCGCGTGCTTGCTGTGTGCGCATGCTAATTAATGTGTGTGTGTGTGTGTGTGTGTGTGTGTGTGTGTGTGTGTGTGTGTGTGTGTGTGTGTGTGTGTGTATGTGTGTACGTGTGTGCGCGCGCGCATGTGTCCTTGTGCGCGCGAGCATGTGTCCTTGTGCGCGTGCGTGCGTACGTACGCGTGCGTGCGTGTGCGCATGTTGTTTTGCACAAAAGACGGGCACGCAGGTCAGTCAGTCTCTACCCGCAGCAGAATACACGATTACGCACTACATCCGCTCAGGGGTTTCACGTCATTTGTCTGTCGATTGAATTACAACGCAATCACAACTGGTAAATTCATGACGAGCGTGAGAACAAGGGGATCGAAAACCTGTCAGCATACAGGCAGCGACCAAGAGAGCATGCAGTGTGCTCGCCAAAAGAAAGTCGATCACGAGCATAAAAAGGGCGCTGTCTTTGAACGGCGAGGGTAACAACCGATAGGAACGATGAATCTAGCCACAAGTAGACACACCTATTCTCGCGATACATGTACGTATATACAGTGTACGCTTTGCTTGTATCGCTACTGCATAACCGCGTAGCGCTCGTGTAGAGCAATTAATTCGCATATATATCTATGCGATATTTTCTATAATGAGTTTTTATGTTTATGTAGCCACTGCCGCCAATTTCAAAGCGCATATATATGCCCTTGATCGTGTATTGACCAAATAACAGCGAAACGTGTTTTACGTTTCCGTGGCTGCCGTTGCCAATTTAGTACCGAATGTTGTAAACACATGTCGACATTATAGTCGTTATATGGTGCAGGGACTACAACATATTCGATTGTCGGATGGTATGTATCTTAATAAAATTGTATAGTTTTCACACGCAAGTTAGAGATGTACGTATGTATTTTCTGTATTGTGTTACCGTTTCAAACTAACGTCATATTGCCAATGCTATCATATATTGCCAGAACTATTAGATATAAACAAATGTGCATGTTTACACATACGCGGTACAAGTTCATAACGATAAAAAATTACAGATGAGACATTTTTGTGGGAGAATCTTGAAAGCAGATCCAAGTTCTCCTTCATCGCGCTACCCATGCAGTGCACATGCAGACTGTAATCATGCATACTACTGTTCGTGTTTTTGCTGTTCTTGCTATGACGTTGTCTAACATATTAAGAGCTAATAATACTTTGAACATATAATACATTTAACATAATAAATTAATAAAATAACCTTGAACTAATAATACCTTGAACATATATATATCCGCCGGCGCGCTAACGTAGGACGATTGCTTCGATTATTATACTTACAAATAATAATAAATATAGTGGTGGTGGTGGTGTTGGTGGTGGTGTTTTTGGTGTTGGTGGTGTTGGTGGTGTTGGTGGTGTTGGTGTTTCTGGTGGTGGTGGTGGTGGTGGTGGTGTTGTTGGTGGTGGTGGTGTTGGTGGTGTTGTTGGTGGTGGTGGTGTTGGTGGTGGTGGTGTTGGTGGTGGTGGTGGTGTTGTTGTTGGTGGTGTTGGTGGTCGTGGTGGTGTTGGTGGTGTTGGTGGTCGTGGTGGTGTTGGTGGTCGTGGTGCTGGTGGTGTTGGTGGTAGTGGTGGTGTTGTTGGTGGTGGTGGTGTTGGTGGTGGTGGTGGTGTTGTTGTTGGTGGTGTTGGTGGTCGTGGTGGTGTTGCA